ATTAAACTTTATTAGTTCATTCCCTAATTAATTTTTTTCTGAAAATACAATCCAAAAAATAAACATTTTTTATTTCATATTTGGAATATGCCCATAAAAATGAAATTATTGTTTCTGATGCAAAATATTTAATTGTACTATATAAAATGTTGTTTATATAATTATAATTATTAACCTGAGTTATCTCAGAATCCCTATCCACTGCTTGCAAAAATTAACCTCTTTACAATCACAGCACACAAATAACAATGCTCCCAGCACAGGACGTTGTGACTGTGCAACAGAAGAATAAAGTCCTCCTATTCATGTGCAATCTAGCATGAAAATATATAAACACAGCAGTACATCATTTACAGACATCTAGAGCCAATATATGTATTTTTTTCATGACCCAAATCAACTTGCTTTAGAAATAACTGGAGGGAAGAAAAATTATTATACCGAATTAACTTGGGTTAATACTTTTTCTGCAAAAATTATCAACCTGAGATATCTCGGGATAATCAGAGAAGCAGTTCAATTTCTCAAACACAGCTAATTGTATAAAGACACAATTAGTGGTAAAAAATAATGTAATTTCATAAAATATGAATATAAAGAAACACACTTTATGCCTCCATGCAGTGCAGAATGTGTTCTGCTGATCATGCCCAACAACCACAGCCTTACAGTCTTCTATGTGCAATAAACATACTTAAAGACGAATGATGAATAAAAATTGCAAAAAATATACTTGGAATATATGTACGCTCCATTCCAAAAACATAAATATATGATAAATACAAAAACAGAACTAGTTTGAGAAAACTCAATGCAAAAATTACATAATTTGGGTTTTATGAACAAGAAATGTTTGTACCTAGAATTCCACAGACTTCAAGATCTGCATTGAGAGAATCAGAAGTTGTCGTCGTATCCTCAACAGAGGACTGGCCACCATAGCAGATACTGGCACCATCCTCTGAGTTGGCAAGAGATGTTTCTCCTCCACCATGTCCATTGCTACCACCACTGTGGTGATGAAGTAAGAGAAAGTGTCGTCCGGCCATGGATTTCCCAGACGAAGCAGCTGCAGGGAAAGCCAGTATTCTTTTAGCAATGTCTTCAGGCTTCTCTTCATGTTGACTGCTGTGATCTGAGTCAAGGTGGTATCTGCAAGAAGTTCATACTGTTAAGTTACGATGTGCTGAATAAATAAACGAGAAGGAAGCAGGAAATGTGTTTTGGTAAGGAAATCTCCTATGCAAAACATTGTGTGAATCTGCAAACAGATCACCATTCTCATCTTTTACCAAGTTCACTCTACATTTGTAACCCTTCTTAAATGATTTATGCCTCTATACAAGTGTCTAATATTTCTGCTCTTACTGTTTGTTTCAAATTCATTAATTTTGCCCTTCAGATGTTCCCTGTATTTGTTCCTGAAATGTCTGCTAATGTCTTACATTACTGTCCTTGTTAATGATATACAATAAAATCAGTCTGAGATTGTTATAATCAGCCCTCATATTCTGTATCAAGGAATTAATTAGTAGGTGAATAAGATGGGTGATTGATGATGCATAGGTAAGTAACATGTAAAGAAACCTTGGTTCATCACCGCAGCCAACAACTCCACCATGCATGGGTCCCCGACGACCTCGCGTACACAGATCGCCCGTCGAATGTGATCGCTTGAGGAGACGTGAATCTGTTTCATCATATTCATCAACATCATTGAAACATCCATTTTCATGGATATCTCCAATTTCAAACCTTCCATCTTCTGCAACGCAGGGTTTAAATCCACAACCAATCAACAACTCTTTGTCAGCAAGGGTCTTGCTAACACCACAACCCCAGATTACTTCACTCCCTTCACTACCACCATCTGGAGAAAACAAGTTTGAACCAGGATCCAGATTCTTAAGGTCAATTTGGCGCCCGGCTAAACTCTTGAGGAAGTAATCCACTGTCAAGTCAGCACTGGTTTTATGATAGATCAGTGAGGCAATGTCTGTATTTTCCTCATCATCTGTTTTGGGAGCAACATCTGTAATTATATTTCCATCTGATGAATGTTCCTGTTCAGCACATATACCACCTCCAATTGATGGGTCCGCAGATGTGCTTTTAGCAATTCTTTTTGATGTTTCTTGTAAAGAAAGTTGGATTGCTAGCTTTAACTGATGGTCATCTGCTCCTTCTGGAAGCAAATAAAAGCAGTCTATTATAAACTGGAAGACAATAGAGAAAATGTGAAGATAATATTAAAATGGATCTTAGAAAAATATGCTGTGAGAATGTGAATGTCTCAAGATTGTACCCAATGGTACTAGCATATTGAGCCCTGAGGTTTTATTATCAGATAGTTGCGTAGACTGCAAAGATGAAAGCCAATTTTTTTTTCTGTTACAGATACAAGGGCATACACATATGATAGTAAAGACACATTACAAGTATAGACCTGCAGATCAAAAAAGAGTCATTTGACTATTAGATATTTTACAACTGCAAGAAATTGGCATCTGATAGTAAGCATATGAATCATATTCATTCATCTGGAGCAATATTACATTCAAACTATACCTATTAAAAAATTCTAACGCCAAAATATTACACAGATGTATATTTAGTCCAATTCCCAGTAAAATAAAATCACAGCAGCCTTGCTGTAAGTGTTGTGAGAATGTTATTCGCAATGCCAAAAATGGTGATAAACAAAGTTTTCAGTAAAATGGCAGTAATAAAACTAATGTAAAATGCCAAAATTCAGACCCACAACATCAGCTTTCCATTGTGCTAGAACCAAAGCGTTCATACAGCGTAATACATATAGCGATTTTACTATCCACGACTATGAGTAACTATAAACAAACAAAAAACTGAACCTGGAGCATTATTAGACTCAACACTAGTGCCAGCCTGCCCTGCTGAGTCATCAGGCATCTGCTGGGACTTGCTGGCAGCATCCTCATCCGCACGCTGACGTTTCTTCATTTCGTCTTCTATCATCTGAAGCCTTGACATCTCCAATGCTATTACTAGATCCATGTTGTAATCTGCTGTTACATTCACACCGTAGACTACAAATAATGTAAAACAACAAGTTTTATGCATTGAGACAATTGCACAAAGAGGAAAGAACAGACCGCTGCCCCAAAAAAGCGCACAATACCTTCCAGACTAACCACTGTCATTATAGAAAACCTAATTACTTACATATCACAGAAATCATAAAACATATAGTGATCACCTTTAGGAGTTTGAATGTTTTAATATGCATGTTGTGGCCTCTAGCATTCTCAAACTGCTTCAAAGTTCCTCTTTCATGACTTTTCAGAATGCGTTATGACCATCCATAAAAACTTTTCCCTCATTCCTACACTGTTTTCAAAATTTCTGTAACATGTTCTTCACAGCCAATTCATAGATGAAAGTGACAAGCAGGTCACTGTACAGTCACGTTTAGGAACATATGCATAAGCAGTATTTCATTAAACTGTTTTAGGTTTTATAATGTTACAGTAAAATTAACCTTCTTCTTTTACTGCCAAGACCATAAAATGGCATAGAAGGGTAACAGAAAGGTATTACAGACCAGGAATTCTCCAAAGAATTAATGGAAATTAACGTGTAGAAGAAACTTATATCATATATAAAATGGCAAGGGCTTAAAGACATGTAAAAAGACAAGGGGGAGGGGGTTTACAAAAAATATTAATAATAAAAAAATAATTTGCACAGCTGAGTTTGCCATAAACTCATAGCATACAGAAGACTGTGAGAAGGCAGATACTGACGGCATTGTACAATGGTTTGAAAGCTATGTGGTACTGACTGACAGCGAAAATTATCTGAGAGCCATAAGGCAAGAGAAATGAAACAGACAGGAGTACAGATGAACAACACTCACTTGCCCCTCCGCAGTAAAAACTGGCACAAGTTTAGTATTTGAACATACCATCATCTTCTGTACCTAGTCTTGCAGCACGGCTACATCGCAAACTGCAGTAATCATGAATGGCTGAAGTGCGAGGATTTCGTGCTCTTGGACGACTGCATCCCACCCGAGCACATTCCCCAAGCAAGCTCACTGCTAGGGCACGATTAACTTCAGTCTCCTAGAATAAAGTACAAATATTCACATCATCATAAAATAAGTCACTGTTGCTACAAATACATCGAGTTAAGCGCAGATTTGTTGTACCTCCTCATCAGAGTCAAAATCAGGCCAGTCATATATGGCACTCAAGTTGGTGTGACGGCCATGAGAATCTTTAACCCACGGATTGTTTGGATCCAGATCCTTCAGAGAGGCAGCAATAGCGTGAGACATTTGCTCCTACAAAAGAGAATATGTATATTTTTAAACTTTGAAAATACACAATCAAGATATGGTTTGATACTTTCATGGCAAAGCACTCACTGTAACTCCATACTTACATGTCCGATTGCCTATGAAAAATTTACTGAATATACGAAGTAAAATTTGGTTTTTATACCAAAGACAGCATTTAAAATTAATTGCAATGAGTAAGAGTCTTTCAGTACCTTAAGTCTGGCATAAGTGCAAAAAACTCACTCAATTTTTATTGAATTTGTAGGTATCAGAGCTGTTACAACTACTACATAACCTTCAAATATAAAATACAGGATCTAATTGATGCTGGAACTTACGACATTCTATAATACATGTTTCTTCCATGATCTGACAAGATTTTATGATGATACTCACATCATCAACTGGATCCATAGCCATAAGCCCAGGAAATCTCCTCTTTCGAACTTTTCGCAGTGTAGGAGGCGTCTCAGGGGGAATTAGTCCTTTAGATACGGCACGAACAAACTCATGACGCTTCCGCCGCGCCACTGTGGTTGTCTCGATGATAAGTGAGCGAGGTGAGCGCATATAAGGTGTGGCTACCATTTCAGAAAGCCTTTCAGTCATCACTTCAAGTTCGTTCTGTAATGGATTTATGGCACCCAATGAAAAAATGTTATAAAATCACAAGCAAATCATTCTTCTGATCTGAGTAAACAACATATTTAATACTCATTTTCTTACTAAGTTTCTCCTTTGATTGACTGTAATAAAATTTGGAAAAAAGTTTTCATGCAATGAAACTAAATGTACATGTCTTTAAAACAGCAAATAAAAACCACGGTGATTACCTGCATGAATTCAAAGATAGTTTTGTTGTATCCATTGTCCTCCAGATAGTATCCATACACATACGAGCCACAAAGAACTCTTCTCGCCTTTAACAATTCTCGCACGCCATCCTCCACAAATCTGGTCTCTTTCTCTCCCATTTCTACAAAAAAATGATAAGATAAAAACTATTAACTCAACAACTTCAGCTTTCGAGGATGACCCGCATTAAATGTTGAATGTTGAGCATTTAATAAAGTGTTTTCTCCAAAAGCTGTTCGTAAAATGTAATGTTTCTAAAGTTGTTGTATTAAGCCTGACACAAAACTTCAAGCATGTTCCCTTTTTTCTTTAATCACTCAATTCAAAATAAGTACACATTTTTACTGAACAGCTTCACATATGGAATGGACGTAACACGAGTCCAGCTAATGGCAAAAGTATACTCTACCACATCACTTGAAAGATCTGTAGTATTATCAGTCGTGTTGTTACAGGAGTGTTCTCGTGATTTTTCAATACAACCTCACGTGTTTCATCACTGATGGTCTCCTACCTTCACCTTTCTGTCCTTTGCCGAGTGAAGATGCAAGGAGTTCCATCTTCTGACGCACGTTGTTCAACAACGGCTCTTCCAACTTCTGACTGTTCTCATGGTTACGGAATCTTGTGTAGTAATGCAGGAAGCGGTTTAACTCTTGCATCTGTTGATTCCTCAGCATTGCCTAGCATGAAATAATACAATAAAACATAATCTCAAATTTCTGGCACAGCAAAAAACATTGTGTAAAAGGAATAGGATTATGAAATGAAAAAGGGAGAACCTACATCGTACAGATGACGATCTTACATCAACAACTGCATGTAATTATACACCAAGATGAAGAAGTGATTTAGGTGGCCCCAGAGTGAGATGGGAATATCAACATTTTAAGACTGGATCTTAAAAGAAGATGAAATGTTTTATCACAAATGCTAAAATATGACAAAGTTGTGCCACTTACTTCACTGATGAGAATCCCTTGCTTCTCGTCTGCCTTGTGAACTGCCTCAAAACGGTTACACCTGAAATAGCCTCCAGTACCAGAATTATGCTTCTTCCAGTTCTCAAGGCACACCCAACAGAATTCAAATTTGCACTGAGAAATACACAGCAAGAACATTTAGATTCACCATTACTTTATCTCCAAAAAGTGTTTTCAAGGACCCATCACAATACACACCAAGAAGGTTAGTACAACAGTACTGTTCAAGACTTGTATTTGGGATGTACCAGATTTGAATATCAACTGAAGAACCACTCTATTTTCATGAAGTTTTTCAGGTGAATACCAAGATGCTACCTTAAAACAGACCATGACTTTCTTGTTTTGAATCCTTAACTATTTACTATTCATGACCATCTTTACATCTTATTTGATAGTATATAACCTATGATGAAACAGTGTCGTTAATTATGTACAACTCACTCTATAACAAGATGTATGACTAGTGTTTTGATATTGTTACTGATAGTGAGTCAAAAGGAATCAGGATGGAGTAGTCTTCGACAGCATGCTGTTCATTCACAGTAAGAAATAGTTTTCAACCTTTGGTCATGACCCAAATTAAGATGGCAGGGTTCTCATTACGGTTGTAAAAGATCATCGTTAGAAATTTTCCTCCGCCTCTTCAGTACTGAATAGCACCTCGAGGGACCAGTCTGAAGACCAGAAGGTCCTGTTGGTGGCCAATTTGTGGTTGCTGCATAACACATTTGGCAAACACAGAATGACATTTGACAAAAACTGGGCAATTGCACTGCAGCAAAAACAAATCACTGACGTGAATTATCGCATTATTCCGAGTCCCTGAACACATGTTTCTTCATGTAAGATTTGAGATTTTCACAGCGGTGAGTATGAAGATTTCTGTCTTCTGGGTTGTTGCGCTGTGTAGTCTGGTCGATGTTAACCAACGTTTCAGAGGTCATACTGCCTCCATCATCAAGGCGATGAATATGCCAATAGGGTGGGTGGGGCTAGGTTTATAAGAGCTCCTATAAACCTAACCCAGAAGACAGAAATCTTCATGTTTCTTCATATTTTTCAAAATTACACATGCATTACTGCAGGTAAGTACCAGTATGGACATTCATAAGTTGAGACTAACCTACAACTATGATCAGTTCGAGCAGAACTTTATACTTTGCTATTAAGAAATATGGCAAGATATTTGAAGAAAGGATCAAACAGTACATACTTACCTTTGAACACTTCATGTGGTTACATCCTTCATTTTTCTGAATGGGTGATTTGCAGTTGGGGCAGGGTTTCGAGTTGGTAACGAGCCAGAGGCAGTTAGCAGCATCTTCTGTTTCGATGCAAGAGGCACGCAATTCTTCTGGTTTCACCTCTGAAATCTTCTGTTGCCAATGCTGCCACTGACTGCAACCACATGGAGCATGGGCCTCACCCAGGCATTCCCTAAAACATTGAACCACTAAGTGGAAAATATATTTTTAAGTAAAACAGTATTAAACAAGCAAGACAGGACTTGGAACACATATATCCATCTTAACATACCATTTAAAGGTTTAAAATGTTAGTGAAGCTTGGTCAATAATGAAGAAAAACAAAGAAACTGATAAAATTTAAATTTTTAATGTTAGTAAAGGGATACACAAGAATGAACAACACAAAAAGCAAGGATTTCAGAGCAGACAGTTCTCATTTATTGCTACTTCCCCTTACTCTTCTTCCTTCTTATTCTGACTGGCCTATCTTCTCTTACCTCTCTTCCATTCAGTTTTTGAAAGATTGTCAGCAATCAATGAAGAGTTTTCAATAAAAAGAAATGCTGCCAAACCTACCAGCAAAAGAAGTGCCCATTTCCACAATCAACTGCATGAGATGTGAGCAATGGAGGTTTGGCTGAAGGAATATTGTGCAGGATGTCACTAGGCTGCGTCTGCTCTGTCTCAGGCAGATGCACAGCATGGCCACAACCCGGCATGGGGCACCACTTGATGCTGCGGTTACTCTCGACAAATGCCTTGGGGATAAGCAAAATTATTTATAAATATGGGAGTGTACTACAGCATTGGTTCAAGAACATTATCATTTCACAAATTCCTTCTTTAAAAAACAATAAAAGTACCCACTTAAAATT